TATATATATATATATATATATATATATATATATATATGCCTATTAAATAAATATAATCAAATGAAATTATTAAAAGTGCCTGGTTTATTTTAACTACAGGTGTTGACTTTATTTTACTTCTTGCATGAGATATTTTAAATCTAATTGGATGTTTGGTCGAAATAATAAAAAAAAGTCACAATGAGAACAGCGAACACAGTTACTTTAAAATACAGATTTAAAAGTATGATAAGAATTACCAAACTTAGAATTTCAGAATTAATTCCAAAAATTCTGGAATCAAACAGTCACAGAAATTACTAATGTACCAGCACATAAATTTGGAAAACGGTAGCCAAATGGTTCATTGATTAGTTCACCCCTCATGTAAATGGGTAATAATGACACAGGAAGTATCCCAGCTGCTAATTCACCTCACATCATCTTGAACTGTAATGCATCAGTGGGAAACCTAGGTGAGGCTTGCTGTCTGTCATGCAGAGACTAACTTTGCATTACAAGAGTGGGGGAGAGTCACACAGTCATCTTACTAAACTGAAATGCCCACACAGGCTGATGAAAGATCATGGTTTATTAAAGTAGCTGAACACAGAGCAGCTTTCAAAACAACACACACAAAAAAAGACAACAGAAAAGGTCTGATAATGTGAAGAAAAAATATATAATTAAAACTGAGGGTACATACAGTATATTCAGGTCATTTTTTTAACATGTGAAAATATTATTGGATGGTGGTGGTGTTTGTTGTACAGTATCCACGTAGTTTACTACAGATTTCTTTCTAAATTGAGCTCTCTTCTTTATTATGATCCTTTATTCAATCTGTATTTCTAAATCAAACGTGATGGCAAATTGTTGAAATGGCAGGCATCCTATCTTTTCTTCTGAGACACAAACACACTGACAGGTAGGAACAATGGAAAAGCAAAATGAGGAATTATGGGTTAGCAGCTGGAGGACCAGCACAGAGGGCCCTCTATAACCAGACAAATCATGCATACACACACAGACACACACATGTGAGGACCATGCACACACACACAAACAACAACCACAACAGCCTCAAGGCCCTGATTCAACGGTGCATCCAACAGCAAGCTTTTGTCTGTTTAAAACAAAGTGATTCCTTCAGATGTTACACAACCAGAAGAGTTGGAATAAGAGGGAAAAAGGGCTTTCTTATCTTATTGTGGAGGGCAAACAATTGCAGGAACAAATTAAGATCAGAGCAAAATGAGAAGAGCATTCATTTATTTTTCCCTTGCTTTGTTCTCTCTCTCCCCCTCATCTTTTTGTCTGAGTGGTTAGTATGCGAATGTAATTACCGAAGGAACTGTAGCTAATCAACTGCGAATGGTATCCATTAATTAGTCTATGCCCTGGAGAGAGAGTGAGTGAGAGAAAGAGCGGGGGGACAGAAAAAGAATGAGCTGATATGTTAAAAGTCTAACCAGCAAATATACACGTGCACAACGCAAACACACACGCGGGCCCCGCAGCAGCTGCAAGACTTGAAGAGCAGGTGGTTTGGGCTGAGGAGGCCTTTTGGAGCTCTCACCTGGTGCATCTAAAGAGGAACACCACGCTGCCTCGCACAATACAGCACCATCATGTCAGCCGCAAAATGTCTCTCTGAAAATGTAAACCCTGAAAAATGACCATTTTTCCATACGGTGTTTGTCCTGTTGTTATTAAACGGTCTTCTGATCATATCAGTGAGAGTCTCCTGTCAGCGGTCCTTAGGTCACACGGAGTCCTAGCCATTTAAATACAGGATGGTGAATTGGTGTCGCTTGAGTAGTTTGAGAAAAGCAAATGCTTTCTGCTTTTTTAGCATGTGTCTCTGTAGAGGAAAATTAGTTTTTGGAGCAACCAATGGGGAGAGAGAAAGACAGAGAAGTCTTTGACTAAACATCTCATTAGAAGAAAAGAATAAGCCTAGCCTTCACCCCACACTCCAATAATAAAGAATAGTAAAACAACACGAAAATTTACAACGAATACAACAAATCAATATAACTGCAGCACTTTTTAGAGTCAAAATGGACTTGCCTGCTATTATTCTGAAAGATTCATCAATGCAAGTCAATCCGAAAAAACAAATGTTTCTCCATAATCTTTAAATCAAAAAATAATTTGCTCAACCTTTCAAACAAGTTTCTCTTTCTGCTGTCATCACTGAGGCTGCTCAGGCTACTGCTCATGTTAATTATCACTATTAATAAGGGGGATTTCACAGCGATGCCATGGAATAATCATTTGGGGTTCCCCAAAAAACCTTCATGCTTTCTGCTTTTTTAGCATGTGTCTCTGTAGAGGAAAATTAGTTTTTGGAGCAACCAATGGGGAGAGAGAAAGACAGAGAAGTCTTTGACTAAACATCTCATTAGAAGAAAAGAATAAGCCTACCCTTCACCCCACACTCCAATAATAAAGAATAGTAAAACAACACGAAAATTTACAACGAATACAACAAATCAATATAACTGCAGCACTTTTTAGAGTCAAAATGGACTTGCCTGCTATTATTCTGAAAGATTCATCAATGCAAGTCAATCCGAAAAAACCATTTTTTTCTTAGTGTGAAGAACATTTTATTAATCTAAAGATTGTTTTCCAAAATAAATAACTTTTTGTGCAATGGAAAGGTTCCATGGATGTTAAAGGTTCTTTGTGGAACCATAGATACCAATTCAGAACCTTTATTTTTAAGAGTAAATGGTCAAATATCAATGCATGCATTGTTTTAACTCACATTGGGTTTAACTCACATATTTTAATAATCCAATTTATTCCACCACACACTTTTTCATTATTAAATATCCAGTTTCACTCTGAAATAAGTTACATTACAGAAAATGGGTTGTGAACGGCATTCATATTGACTTTACCAATGAAATTTGAAGAAGATCACTTCTTTGAGAAAGTTAAAAAAGAACAGAGAGAACAAGGTGGATTCTGAAAAGATGGAAAAAAAGATCATGCCCCCTCCCTCATTTCATCACTAATGTGGGCCTACATGATACAAACAGCAAGAGGAAAGAAAGAAGTGTGTGTGTGTGTGTGTGTGTGTGTATACACTAGCACTGCTCCAGGCTTTAAGTTATTCATTCACACCATCAGTATTCACCCTGTTTTAAATCCCATTACCTGCCTCTCTGCCTCGCATCACTGACACATGTAGATCCACAACTCATGAATATTAATTGAACAAACATTACGGATATCACAGAAGGACTGCTTTAAATCACCTCTCACTTGTCAGCTGTACATTTAACAACTGATGCCGATAAACAGAAATACAACGAACCAGAGCTTTTAGGAAACAGAAGTTAGCGTGAATGGAAACGGACACAGGGGGTGTTGTTGTCGCTCTTGGCTGTCTTCAGTGAGAGAGCAGACCCTCTCATGTTCATGGCAGGGTGGGATTGAGCCAGATGCCAAATGAGATTAGCCGTGATGGGAGGATGAGACTAACTGAAAAAATGAAAGAGAGAATGCTGTAAATGGGTCAGATCAGACAATGGAGCCTCTGTAATTAACAAGATGAGAGGAGTAATGCAAACACTACCTCTGCCTCATTAGTGAACAGTAACGAGCTCAAGACACGCCCCTGTTAGGGATAAATTACAATAGATGACTAGTCAACAACCAACTAGTTGATTAATGACATCAAGTTTGAGTTTTTTTCTTTTTTTAGCATTAAACATAGCATTCTTTACATTATATGCAATAAAAAAATATACAGTATATATAGGTTTTAAACATTTCTAACCTCTATACTGACTAAAAAGGTTTACTCCATCAATCGTCTATAGAAGTTATTGTTCTTATATGCCCAAATTATATGCACAAAAACACTTCACTCGCAACCAACGAGCTGATAAGTGACGCAAAGTTTTAGACTTTTTCTCATTTATTTTTATTTTTAGCATTACATTTTATTCATTTATTTTGGAAAATAAGTAGTTTTACATTTCAAAAAACTTAACTGACAAAAATGGTTCTAGCAGACAATCTTTTATGAATCTTGCCGTTGTTACATGCACAAAAATGCGAGGCTTCACTTTTATGAAGCTCCTGACTGATTTTGGACACCAGCATCCATACTGA